GAAGTGGCAGCAAATAGACCAGCCCAATGAGTGGAGAAATTAGAGATGTCGGGGGGGGATAGGATGTGTGCAAAATGGCGCACACGTGTGTGTGTGTGTGTGTGTGTGTGTGTGTGTGTGTGTGTGTGTAGGTATGTATGTGAGAGTTTTTGTCCAAAGGTAGAAGGCAGGATGAGGCAGGGTTCCCTGGAGATCATGGAAGACTAAGAATCATTCGGGAACATTAGTCTAAGAGTCCAAAAAATGGGAGTGGAGACGAGGCAGCCAATAGGATACAGACTCCAAAATAAAGCAGAACGCAGATCGCATCCCTCTGGCTAAAATTCGAGGGATGGTTCCCCTCAAGGTTCCCAACACTGGGGAACACATCTGCTAAGTCCGTATTTGAGACATATGCTCTGATGTGAATGTCTGAAGATGGATTTAGCCCAGAAAATCCAGGGACCAGGGCTGCTGTATCAGGAGGGTTTTCCCCCTCTGCACTGTCGACATTTGGGGCGGAACAAGTCTGTCATGGGTCCCGTGCATCGCAGGATGTTCAGAAGCTTCCCTGTGTCCTTCCCCCCGCCCCCCCGCCACGAGATGCTGGGAGCACCATCCTCCCAGGCGTGAGGGACAGACTGCCCAGGTGGAGAACGGCTTCTCTCTTGGTAACGTGCGGTGGCCCCATTTCAGGGCTCATCTTACTTAACCTGTACAGCCCTTAACGTCATCGTCTGACCATCCCTTCCTTTTGGAAACTCTCCCTTCTCTCAGCATCACTGAGGCTTTATTCCCCCGATTCTCTTCCTCTCCACCGTCTACTCTCTGTCAATCATCCCTCGGGTAGGTAGAGTCCTAGACTCTCTCCATTTTTTGCTGATTTCCTCGGACTCCGTGCCTGGTCCCCCACAGCACCTCACTGCCGGGCCCACAGGGGATGTTGCGAAGCTTCAGTGTGAGCACTGGCTGGGTCCCTGGAGCAATGACATCTGCTACGTAGCCGTCGTGCAAATCAACTTCTTTGTCCCTGAACCTGCTTTACACTTCATACACACTTCTGAATTCCTGCTCGGACTCTCCCTCTGCGTATCCCTCTGGTGCCTGAAGATAAAAATGTTCAGAGATGACTTCTCTCTGCTCCCAGAATGTGTTTCCTATTTTCACTGATGGGATCTTCAACTTGACTGTCTCTGGGCTTAGAAAGCTCTGAAATAGCTTTGCCTTCTCTCCCTAAACAGGCACTTGGTTGCTGATTCTGGATCATTCTCTCGGCCCCAAGTCCATTTGACTCCACCTCTGCAGTGTCTCTAATATCAGGGTCCCCCTTCCACACCACCAACACTGGTCAGGCCCTCTTCTCTCTCAACTGCATACCTTCTCTCCACCTGCCTCCATTTCCCCATCTACTTACATGTTTTCATAGTGCCTACATTTTAAAAAGAGGAAAATATGGGGGCGCCTGGGTGGCTCAGTCAGTTAAGCATCTGCCTTCGGCTCAGGTCATGATCCCGGGGTCCTGGGATCGAGCCGTGTGTTGGGCTCTCCATGTTCAGAAGGGGAGTGTGCTTCTCCCTCTCCCTCTGCCCCTGCTCATGTGCTCTCTCTCTCTCTCGCTCACTCTCTCTCTCAAAATAAATAAATAAAAATCTTTTAAAAAAAGAGGAAAATATGCATGAAGCAGATGCTAAACCTAGCGTTAATTCTAGCAAGAGTTAATATTCCCTGGATACGGGGCGCCTGGGTGGCTCAGTCGTTAGGCGTCTGCCTTCGGCTCAGGTCATGATCCCAGGGTCCTGGGATCGAGCCCCGCATCGGGCTCCCTGCTCGGCGGGCAGCCTGCTTCTCCCTCTCCCACTCCCCCTGCTTGTGTTCCCTCTCTCAAGCTGTCTCTCTCTGTTAAATAAATAAATAAATAAATAAAATCTTTAAAAAAAAACATTCCCCGGATACATGAAGGGAAATAGATGGCTGAAGATATTTCACCCATCTCAGTACGAGGTGCATTTCCAATTAATTTTTTCCAATGTTTTGTTACAAAAATCTTCAAACCTACAGAAAAGTTGAAAGAATTTTGCAGTAAACGTACATAGGCCCATTGCCTCGATTCTAGAATTATTTTGCTCAGCTTGCTATTTCACATATCTATCCATCTGTCCTTCCCTCTATCCATTTATCAATCCAGGTATGTTTCAAAGTAAATTGCAGGCATCAGTAAATTCTCACCCGAAATATTTCGGCATACATGTCATTGGTTAGAATTCAATATTTGTTGCCAGTTGTTTCCTATTTTTTTTTGAGGCAAAATAAACATACAATGAGATGCTCAGATCTTAAGGGAACCATTCTGTGGGTTTCAACAAACGTATACACGTGTGTCACTCAAATCCTGTCAAGACACAGAGCATTACAATCACCCAGAAATTCCCTGACATCATTTCCTTGCCCGTCCCTGCCCCAAATCTGCCCCAGAGGCAACCACTGTTCTGATGCTCTTTGATCGTAGATTAGTTCTGCCTGTTTTAGAACTTCATATAAATGGGAATCATATAACATGTGCTCTTGTGTGTCTAGATTCTCTTAGAATAAGGCTTTCAAGAGGCATCTGTGTTGTTTCATGTATAAGTAGTTTGTCCCTTTCTATTCCTAAGCAAGATTTCACTGTATAAATACACTACAGTTGGTTTATCCATTCTTCTATAAATGGTCATCTAGGCTGTTTCTGGTTTTTGGCAACATTTCCAATAAAACTGTACTTTAATTATCATTTATCAAAGTTTGTAATATATTTTTGTTCTATGAATCAATTGTGGACTAAGAGTAATTATAATTATAATATCAACTCAATACAAAAGAAATTTTTATCACTTTCAATTTTATGGTGACAGAAAGTTAAATTTATATACGGGGGCACCTGGATGACTCAGTTGGTTAAGCATCTGACTCTTAATTTCAGCTCGGGTCATGATCTCTCGGTCATGAGACTGAGCGCCGAAGCGGGTTCTGAGCCGAGTGTGAAACCTGCTTCAGATTCTCTCTCCCTCTCCCTCTGCCCCTGCCCTCCCCTCCCCACCCCAGTGCAGTTCAATCTCTCTCTCTCTCTCTCTCTCAAAAATAAATAAATAAATTTATCTATTTTTATTGCAAAGCATCATGAAAGGGTGAGCAATAGAAAAACTCTCAAGCGTAAAAAATTACATTAAGGGGCACCTGGGTGGCTCAGTCGGTTAAGCATCTGACTCTTGGTTTCCACTCAGGTTGTGATCTGCCCAGGTCCTGGGATCGAGCCCCGCATCAGGCTCCACACTCAGTGCAGAGTCTGCTTCAGATTCTCTCTTCCTCTCCTCCTCCCTCCCCCTCTGCTTCTCTCCCCTCCTCACTCCCCACTCATGCTCGTGCTCTCTCTAAAATAAATAAGTAAAATCTTTTTTAAAAAATTACATTAAGATAAACTACTAAGGAAGAGGTAGAAAAGAAATAGAAGTTTGAAGGGAAACAAGAAATGAGAACTGTCCAACTGTAAAGATGATCTGTGTTTTTAAATGAACGATGTAATTATTAGATTGCTATGGCATTTAGATTCCACTGGGTTTATTCAAATGAGTGATGTGATGGTTTAAGACTATTTTAGTATTTTAATATTCAGTATTTTTAATAGTCTAGAAATGTCAAATTTATGATGAAAACAATTAGATGTCAACGTGAAATTATGTGAAGAGGCTCATAGTTTTCTCAAATTATTTTCCAAACCCTATTCAAAATACCAGGAAGAAGGAGAGAAGTTTTCCCCAATGCCTGCTGCTTCTCCCGAAGGGTCCTGGATTCTAACTCCTCGCTCTCTGGCTCTAATTGCCATCTTTGGTTCTCGCTAGGCCTTGAGAACACTACCAGTTAGGCAAAATTCATGGGTAGGTTTGGGTCATATTTTATATCACAGAAAACAGAAACTGAGGTGAGGACTTGGACCAAACACAACCCAGATGGTCAATCAACGTGGTGTCATCAAACACTCATCTTCTTGGTCTGTGGTCAAGCGGAAATGAATTTGCATCTCAAAGCCTTGCACTGGGAAGATGGTGGATCTTCTGTCATCTCCTTTTCCCTTTTCACCCACGTGGCCTGGAATACACTGGAATACACTGACAGAAATCACAGGTGTCTTTGCCCTGGCTATTTTGTTTTTCCTCTGAGAAAGCTTCTTTTTGCTAGAAAGTAACATGCCACAGATCCTATTACAGAAAATACTGGGTAGAGGACTTTACAGGTTCCTTGTGTATTCAGTTTAGTTGTGTCGGTATACACAATGTGAAAAGAGCTGATTAATTTGTGAAAAATGTAATAAAGTGATGGAAGCTGCATTAACAAAACCACTGACTGATGAATTTTTAATTTGAATGTCCTGGAGCCTTACTGAAACCTGAGGGTCATGGCTGGACTCAACCAGTCAGCAAAGTTGGAGATTAATACCGTGCCCTTGTATTATGTTTTGACAATCTTTTCCTCCAGAAAATGTTCGCTTTTTAGTGTTAGAATTGCAGAATACTATGGACTGAATGTGCCTCTCCAAAATTCACATGCTGACGTTCAGATGCCCAATGTGATGGCATTAGGACGTAGGACCTAAGGGAGGTGAAGGCTCACTAGGATTAGTGCCCCTATAAAAGGGAACGCCCCCCACCCACCAGGGCAACCCCACCCTTTCTGCCGTGCGGGGACACAGTGAGAAAACAGCCTTCTATTAACCTGGAAGAGGGTTCTCACCAGTCTCTGGGTCTGCTGAGGTCTTGACCTTGAACTTTCCAGTCTCTAGAATTATGAGAAATAATTGTTTAAGCCACCCAGTCAATTGTATTTTTGTTACAGCAGCCCACATGGACTAAGACACAGAGTTTAGCACATGATTATTCCTAATTATTTAAACTGTGTTTGTCCCCACCTCAGTTAAAGTGTAACCTTTTTTTTTTTTAAGATTTTATTTTTAAGCAATCTCTAAGATCAACAGTCGCGTGCTCTCCCAACTGAGCCAGGCAGGCACCCCAAGTTTAAACTTTTTGAAGGCAGAGATGGTCTAATTCTTTTCTGTCCCTCACAGTTGTGATCACTGGATTAGACACATAGCACATGCTTGATCTGGGGATGACAGTCAAAATCTTTAACAGCCAACTAATTGGAAACAACACGGGCCCTAATGTTAGGGAGATGCCCAGCTGTGCCCAGCATTTTCATTGCTGGGTTGTAGGGAAATGCAAGGGGTTTGAGGGAGGGGACCAAAGTAGTAAGGGGAGTGGCTATTTATCCCCCAATACAGAACCATTTATGTTTTAGCAAACAATATATAGTTATACCATCTGAATATCAACCCCAAAGAGCAAACATTTTATGAAAAAACAAATGTAAAAGCATTAACATTATCTCCCTTTAACAGTGACGTCGACTAAGATCCAAGATGCAAATGTATGCCCCAAAGTTACCCAAGTGGATAGCAGGAGCAGACATCAGCACCCGGCCTCCTGGACTCCAGATACCACGGGCAGATAATTCGACAGGTTGGATGATGCTGTTGCTCTTCCTGGATCCCTTGGAATTCCTGTTTACCATTTTTTTTCTTCCCCTCTTTGGGGGTGCTTTTGATTTCAACAAGCAACATGGGCTGGGCTTTTATGGAGAACTCCCTTGTAGTTCCTGGATCCCACTTGCCTGCAGGTGAAGTCCCTTGGGGGTGGTCTGTAACCTGTGACTGGTAGGGTGCTGGTACAGGAACTCTGGCCCCCTTGTCTAGGGTGAGCTCACCCGTGGGCATCGTTTACAACCCAGAGTCCCCCAGGGGCCAGGTGACATCACTGCCTGTGGAACTGAGCCAAGCGCTCTGCGTCCTCTCCCGGGTCTGCTCTCCTCACCCCTCCGTTAATGGTCTCAGGGGAGCATTTCCTTAACGACTCACTCCCACACCAACCTGATTGGAGGAAACCCAACTATATTTGTTTCCTAGGGCTGCTACAACATGCACGACTGCAACAAGCACTGGGGGGCTTCAAACAACAGAAGTGAATTCTTTCACAGTTCTGCAGGCCAGAAGTCTGCAGTCCAAGGAGCCAGGCAGGGTGATGCTCCCTCAGAAGCGTCTAGGAGAGAATCTGTCCCACGCCTTTCTCTTTGCTTCTGGGGCTGCCAGCAATCCTCGGGCAGTCTTTGGTTCGTAAACACATCACTCCAGTCTCCACCTCTGTCTTCACACGGGCTTCTCCTGTGTCTGTGTCATCTCTTGTTCCTATAAGGACACCACTCATGTTGGATTGGGACCCTAATTAGTATGGCCTCATTTTTACTTGACTGTATCCACAAAGGCCCTGTTTCCAAATTTGGTCACATTCATGGGTCGGGGAGGCTAGTGTTTGCTTAGGGCCCTGGAGGAAGAATTAGTTTCAGGCCTCTGTCTTGGGCTTGTAGATGGCTGCCTTCTCGCTGTGTCTTTTCATACCATCTTCCCTCTGTGCAGGTCTGTGTCTGGGTCCTGTTTCCTCTTTTTATAAGGATACTAGTCATACTGGAGTAGCGTCCACCCTAATTTGATTATCTCTGTAAAGACCCTTTCTCCATATACTGTCACATTCTGAGGTAATAGAAATTAGGACTTCAATATAAGAATTTTCAGGGAACACAAATCAACCTGTAATAGGAAGTTAGGACTTCAACATATCTTGCATGGGGGGTGGGGGGAGCACAATTCAATCCTTAACACCGCCCTAAAGCATTTTCTTTGTTACTTTAAGATGTCACGAGAAACAAGACAAATGAGCAAAGGGGGAAGAAGAGACAAAGAGAAACAAACCAAGACACTGACTCTTAACTGTAGAGAACAACTGATGGTTACCACAGGGCAGGGGTGTGGGGGATGGGTGAAACAGGTGATGGGGATGAAGGAGCGCACCTGTGATGAGCACCAGGTGATGCATGGAATTGTTGAATCACTACGTTGTAAACCTGAAACAAATATTACATTGATATAAACTAATATTAAATTAAAATAAAAACAAAAGATTTCATGAAGGTCAAGAATATAAACACAGGGGCACCTGGGTGGCTCAGGTCCGGTCATGATCCCAGGGTCCTGGGATCCCTGCTCATCTGGGAGTCCCCCTCTTCCTCTGCCCCTCCCCCTCTGCTCGTGCTCCGTCTCTAATAAATAAATAAAATCTTAAAAAAAAGAATATAAACCAAAATCATGTGTACTATATGTATAACCCAGCTGTCATATTTCCCAATTGTTCTTCAAGTGTCTTAAAATACGGTATTTTTATTTTTCTGAATCACTGACCATAAAATCAGTAACAGTATCATGGCTTTATTTATGGGACTTACGAATTTACAACACTTGTGTTTTTATTTCCTATGGTCAAGTTAGATGCTTTTTCCTGATAAGTATTTGTTTTGAATTGGAAATTATGTACCCTTAAGTGTTGTTTTGTGTGAAACAAATGAGTCATTAATAACACAATAAATAAACTGTACAGTGGTTAAGAATGTGGGCTCTGGTGTCAGACTGCGTAGGTTTCCATCAGCTCTGTAACTTCCTAGCTCTGTGACCTTAGGGAAGTTAATTCATCAGAATTAACTAATTCATCAGAAGTTAATTCTGAGCTTTCATTCCTTATCTATAAAAGGGGGAGATGAAAACAGCACTGTAATTTTGAAGCATTTCACACAGTATTGCTCACAGTAAACACTATTAATTTAGCTATTATTTTGTCTGAAGTATTAGTTTATATGTAGTAATTCTGAAAACAGAAAGACATAATAGAAGTGAAATTTCTTATTATTTCTTTAAGTAAAATCTCACACTTTTCCAGAAAACATTGCTAATGCTTTCCTTTAAAATAAGATAAAACTTGTTCTTTTCTCTTTATCTTTCAGAATTTAACTTTATATTACCAAAATAAAGTGATCATTTAAACTTTTATGGGAAAAAATTTTAAATGATATATTACGGTCTTTTGAAAAATAGGTAATCCTCTAATGTAGTATAAATTCGAATGTCATAAAAGAAATATAGTAAAAAGCAAGTCTCCTCTTCCTTACCCCTAATTCTCTGATCATATTTCCAGAGGCAGCCACTGTTACCACTGTCTTGTATATCCTTCCAGAAACAGTCTACACATATGCAAGAAATATATGTATATCTCCACACCCATATTTTAAGACATGATAGCATATTTTGTATGCTCTTCTGCATCTTGCTTTTTACAATTTAATAATACTTCTAGGAAATTTTCTCTTATCAATACCAAGTCACTTTGTTTTATTCTTTTTCACAGGTGCATAGTATTCCACTCCATGGATATACCACAACTTATTTAACTAGTTCCCTACCAGTGGGCATTTGGCTGGGTTTTCTTGTTCTTCAATATGTATTTGCATTTATATTGTGCAAATATATCTGTAAAATAAAATTCTAGATGTAGCATTGCCAGGTCAAAAAAAAGTAAATGCATGTGACAATCTGCTATTACTTTTTAAATTGTCCTCCAAAGAGAATGGACCAATTTATCCTCCCACCACCATCAGTTCCTCCATCAGCCTCAGGGCATTGTTAAATTTTGTGAATTTTTCCAATCTTGTAAGCGTCAACAGGATCTCATTAAACTTTGAATTTCACTTTTCTTGTTAGGGTGTGACTGAGCATCTTATCATTTATTTATGAATTATTTATATTTCCTTCATTACAAAGTGCTCAAATAATTTGCCCATTTTTCTATTTAAATATTTACTTTTAAATAATGAACTGTATTTTAAAATAATAATAATAAACTGTATTAACTCTTTATATATTAAGGAATCTAAACTTGGTTTTGTGGCGGGAGAGAGGGATTTTTCCTGTTTAGTCAGTTGTCGTTGATTTTATTATGGTATTTTTTTGTCTTGCAGAAATTAAAAAATATTTTTTGGTTGAATCTATGAATAAGGTAGAAGACTATTGCAGTTGTCCACGTAGGAGGGCCAGCTGGCTTGGGCTGGAGCGATGTTGGTGGATGTGGTGATGAGTGGTAGGTCTGAGAATGGGATTGTGAGGCTAGACCTGGGCTGATATAGCAAACATGGCGGGGAGGGTGGAGTGGGGTGGGTATGGTGAGGGAAAGAGATGTTGACTCTGAGGCTCTGGCCTGAATAACTGGATGGACAGTGATGCCACATACTGAGATGGACAAAATTTTAGGGGGAGCAAGTCTCTAACCTGTTTTGGAAACATGATTCCACATGCCTGGTTTCGTAACGTGATACACATTCAGGTCTTGTTCGTTCATCGCCTTTTGAGGTTCTTCCCATCGAAGTGAAATGCTGAGTCAAACTATACACTTGGCACGTCTGAAACAGGCGTTACTACTCTGCGTACTTTCACAGGTCGCGACTTAGAGACCAAGAGTGCTAACATCACACCTGCCATGTCATCGCCTCACCCAGCGTCTGCTTGTCTTCTCTGCTGGGGACCTCAGCACACACTATGCAATCCCTGGGGAAACAGCTCCGTGTCTAGGATTGATTTAAATGAGATTGACTAGTTTTCCCTGAATCCACAGGTATTTAACCCACAAGTCAAGTCAGTTTAGCAACTTGGCTGGTAACCCAAGAACAAAAAAAAAAATCAGACTGGTTTGTACATGTCCAGAGGGCCATGGTCTGTGAGCTCAGTTGGTGGGGGCAGGGGAGAGGGCTGGTTTTTTTCAGAGACTTTGAAAACATAAAATTCCACACGGATGATTAACACCTCTATGCCACAGGATGGGTGTTGGCATACAATGGAAAGAAAATGTTACTGAGAGGAAGAAAACAATGTTATATAGAATGATCTCCTCTCGGAATTTAAGCCAGTCTCAAGGGAATCTCTGAGAGTCTTTTAATCTGTCTTTTTCATGTATCCCTTTGACAGTAAAATTAGTGCACAGCATTACTGGACATGAGGAAGAGCAGCTGCCAACTAAGAGCTGGGTTCAACGATGAAGGTAAATTACCAACTCTGCCTGGTCGCTGGTTGTTCTCCTGAAGCCTATTCTACTTCCTGATAATGCTGATCAAATACGCTGGTATTTGAAGTGAGACCAAGTATAAGAGTAGCCATGTGACTACACGGTGATGAACAGGAGCAGCAAGCCCTATTTCAGGCAGACCAAGCAAGGGATCCCCTGAAGGTTGCAATTCAGGGGAGCTGGGGAATGGGGACCACAGATGGCTGAGAACTCAGCTCATTATCTGATTGCATCTGCATGAAAGCCCTTACGTGAGAACTTTCAGCTGAGCTCAGTCAAACCACAGGACAGTGGATAGCTCGCCAGGCAGCAATAAAGACGGACACATCTGCCATGCGGGTGATGTAGGGGGTCAGAGAACGTGACAAACTCATGGAGAGCATAAGACTCTCCACAAGACAGGAGTACATATGCAGTCGAGATGGGGAGAAAGGACATTTACATAAAAGAGTAACAGAGAGTTCAAGGTAGCACATGACTCCTAAATATAGGTGTTCAGGGCCCAAAGAAATAAGTGAAAGTTGGGAGTCTTCATGGAGGAGGGGGGACTAGAAGTGGGAATGAAAAGACAGGGGAGTACACCCAGGCAGAGAGAAGCAGCCTGAGGAGGAGAGCATGGATGTAGGTAAGGTTTTAGAAAAGCCCCTAATGCTCAAAGATTAAATAGATGGACTTGGCTGGAACACAGAATTTATGTGCGTGGGCAACAGCTGATGACATTGGAGGTGGACCTTGATTAATAGGCTAACTGCCTATCAAGAGAAAGATTAGGGCAAGAGTTTTAGATTGAAGAGCTTCAAGGTTTAGGGTGAGAGATTTTTTATTATTATTATTATTATTATTATTTATGTATTTATTTATTTATTTACGAGATTGGGGGGGAGGGCAGAAGGAGAGAGAGAATTTCAAGCGGACTCCCTGCTGAGCCCAGAGTCAACACAGGGCTCGATCTCACAACCCTGAGATCATGACCTGAGCCAAAAATCAAGAGTCAGATGCTTAACCAACTAAGCCTCCCAGGTGCCCCAGGGTAAGAGTTTTACATTGAAGAGCTTCTGTGTTTAGGTGAGAGGGGAAACCAAGGAAGTGAAGGTCCCCGAGGAAAACAGCCCCCCAAAACTTTTGTTTGTGAGGAGACTATAATCCTTTAAATTGATCACTTATTTAAAAACCAACAAACAAAAAGAATCCCATTTCCTCACAAGCAACTCCACATTGAGTAGGAAAAAGAAGGAGAGCCATTCAAAGGAAGAAAAACCACTTAAGACTATCCTTGTTAAAGAGAATGGCAATAATCTTGAGTGCTTTAATCCTAACCAAGGAGAAAATTGGGGGTCAAAAGGAATCTACCTGGAGCCGAGATCACCAATACCAGGTAGTGAGGGTAGGGCCATCCTACTTATTTCACTTACTGTTGAAACCAGTGTTGGGAAGGACGCACAGATACACCAAGTTTAGGGTTTTACAAAGGTGTCACAGGGTCGGTGCCCTAGAAGAAGATATGAGATGGAGTTCGGGGGATAAGATATTTATGACCCCTGTTCCGGGGAGAAAAAATCGGGTCAGGCAGAAAGGAAGGAAGAAGTTGAAAGGCAGTGTAGACCCATCAAGACCTTGGCGTTGGCCAAACAGACAGGCGGCTCTGGAGTGAATGCTGCCCGTTAGAGTTGTCTTGCATTGAGCTGAAATGACTGGGCCTTCATTACTCGTCACTGGCTGTGAGCTGCCCAGGAAGGGCATGACCCCAAGTGAGGTGAGGGCACCCTCTGCATTGGAGACAGACTCTGATAGAACAGAGTCAGCTGCCTGCTGACTCTGCTTCCCACATCTGGGCATCAAGTCCTTCCTTGAAGTGGTGGAAGGAGGACCCAACTCTCCACGTCTAGCACAAAGGGGTAACCAAGCTCAAAGTCACATTAATGAGAATATACTTCTCTTTACGAACCTAATAAAGTTAGCAATGTTGCGGGATCGTTGACTGTAACAGTCAAGAATTCTTGAGACATTTCACTCAATTTAAGTAAGTTTAAGTAGCACGGGGACAGGACCCAGGGGCGGGAAGAGCCACACTTCCACTGTATGAAGCGGGTGGTCTTCTGCTTAGCACTCAAGGGCGAGGGAACAGGCATGGAGTATTAGATCATAAATGTTTCTTCAAGTTTCTACTCATAAAACCACTTCCGCAAGATTTCTCTGGAACGTATTGTTCAGTTTGACATTACCTATCGATGAGACGTGCAGGACGTCATGAGATCCTTTAAGAATGTAGCCACCAGCACTTATTTCATCCTTATCAAAAACTATGCAGGTTATAGGTCAGCCTTTTGGGCTAAAGGTGAACATTTTTCTGCCTCTAAGACCAATGCTTACTTTGATGAGTGTGTCTGCTTATTCACTTCAAAAAAGGAACTCAATTACATTGATCATTGGTCGAAGATGGAGTTCCCAATACATGAGTCTGCAGCCCATCATCTTCATCGCTCCGCAGCCAGAATCTTCCGCCAGATGGCAAGTGGTGGGTCACTAGGCAGGCAGTCCTGAAAGAAGAGTGTGGTATAGTAAAAAAAGGATTTGGTCTTTGTCCCTGTTTTCTGGCACAGAGCATCAAAAACCTTTGGAATTTCCTGAGAGAGCTAGGCGTGCCTTTGCTATGCTAATGATGTGACTGGGGTGGGTGTAGGAGCTAGACAGCTTCTGGATGGGGGCAGCTGCTGGAAAACCCCAATTATAGGATCAGATGGGTTAGAACTTTCAGCCCTACCCTTAACGGCTGGGAAGGGAGAGGGGCTGGAGATTGAGTTTAATCACCAATAGCCAATGATGTAATCAATCATGCCTGTATCATGAAACCTTGATTTAGAAAAAACCCTGAACACGAAGGTTTAGAAGAGCTTCCTGGATGGTGAGCAATTTATGTACCTGTTGGGTGGCATACCCCAACCCTATAGGAACAGAAGCTCCTGCACTCTGGACCCCTCCAGACTTCACCCTATATACCACCCCATTCATCTGGCTGTTTATTTGAATCCTTTATACCAAAATGATAATTACAAGTCTAGTACTCCTGGGTTCTGTGAGTTGTTCCAGTGAATTATCAAACATGAGGGGGGCATTGTGAGAACCCCTGAATTTGCAGCTGACTTGGACAGAGGTTCAAGTGGCCCCCAGGACCTCGAGCTGGTGTCTGAAGCGGGAGCAGTCTTGTAGGACTGAGCCCTTCTTAATGTGTGGGGTCTGTGCTAACGCTGGGTAGTTAGCGTCAGAAATGAACTGAACTGTAGGACAGTCAATTGGTGTTGGGAAACCCAAAGGGTCAGAGGAAGAGAGAGGTGAGGTAGATCACGAGGCAGGGAGACCTGCGTGGGGCACCATCGTTCTGAAGTCCAATGCTTGTAAGGCAATGAAGGGGAAGGAGTCATTTTGATGAAGTCCTACATTTACTACTTGGGTAAGAGGTCTGCCACACATCCAGTGTCCTCTGGCACCTGGCGCTAAGTCAGGAGGTCATTAGGAAAGGAATAGAAACTGCTTCCTGGCTGTCTTGAGGGGAAGAGGGAATGAATTTAGGCAGAGACGAGGTCGAAGAGGAATTAAGTCTCCACAGTCTGTGGATTTGCTTTCCTATGTGGACCCCCCTTTGGATGGGCACACCTTTGCTGCTCTCAGAGTTCATGGGTTGGGTGGGGCTGACCTCACCACCAGGCTCCTGACCGAAGCCAGTGATTGGTTCAGAGCGGGGCCACTACCTAGGCCCGGGGAATCAGAATGAGGAAGCATCAAGCCAGGAGTTTTGCTAGCACTACTGGGGGAAACATGCTCTTCTTCACTCTGGGCTTGCTAAGTTAGTAAGACACAAGCCTAAAATTGTGGGTGTCTTGACTCCAGTTGAGGTAAGCTTAACCTACGGAAGAGCAAAACCAACACAGAGGAAAGGGGCGTGGAGAAGGGTGTTGGTGCGTGTGTGAGAGACAAAGAGGGAGAGACAGAGACACAAAGAAGTACAGAGAGACACACACAGAGACATGGCTGACATTATCTCTGCAAGGGTTTATGTGAGGGTAGGTTGTCTTGGGAAGTGATCCCCAGGCAAGAGCAAGCAGCTAAGAAGAGTGAAATCATGGAGAAGACAGAACAAATTGGAAGATGTCTTATTGGTCACATTAGTGACCAACTGAGGCTGGATCCCGCTGAGACCTTCTAAGGAGCCAGATTGAGCACCTCAGAGTCATTTATAAGGGGGAAGCGTTTATCCAAGGCTCCTGTTTCCCATTGGATCAAGAGATGCCCCATGAGCTACTAACTTCTCTTCCCCACCTTTCTAAGGATTCTCCAGAGAAATAGAAACAACAGGAGCTAGCTAGCTAGCTGGACGATAGACAGATTTATTTTAAGGAGCTGGCTCACGTGATTGTGGAGACTTAGCAAATCTGAAAGCTGGTGCGATAGGCTGTCAGGCTGGAGACTCGGGAAGAGTCGTGGTATAAATCTACAGGACCACCAGCGGGCAGAATTCCTTCTTGCAGGGAGGAGAGTCCGTCTTTTTCCCTTAAAACCTTCAGCTGATTGGATGCTTTACTCAAAGTCCACTGATTTAAATGTTCATCGCATCAAACAACACCTTCCCAGAAACCTTTGGAATAATGTTTGATCAAGTATCAGGGACTACCGTGTCACCAAACTGACATAGAAAATGACCCCTGGCGCCCCCCCCCCCCGCCATACTTCCAGGTTGCACATACCTGAGTGCCAAGGAGACATTTTCAGGGCAGAAAAGGAGAAGCGCCGGAAGGAGCTGCAGCAGGGGGCTGCCAGTTCTCACCTGCGGGCAGCCAGGTGGTTTCTGTTGCAATGGCTGCAGGGGTCAAAGGACAGCTGAGATGTCAGGCCAGGCTCATGAGGTTATCATGAGATAACCACATAGTATACTTTCTTTTTCAACACTGAAGGAAAAAAATAAAAAAGGTGTTTGTACTAAAATAAATAGCTCCCTTTGTCTAAATTTACATTTAGAAACTAAAAGGAAGCCCGTATGCCAACAATTGTTACATAAAATAAGGGAAATAACTGTGCATTTTCTAATGACATTTTTGAGGCCAACTAAAAACCAATCATTCATTTTTAGTAAAACTGGACTACCTCTAAAAAAAAAAAAAAAAACACTGAAATTTTTAACCAGTTAGCTTTAGTCATTTGATTTGATGTGGGAAAAAAAAACAATGTGTTCCCCTCAGCAAATATTCTCCTAAATTGATAGGGATGGGAAAAACCAAAACCAAAACCTCTTACTTTCACAATCAAAAAGCATAATCTTCTTTCCTAGAGATTGGGGAAATCCCAGAATTCTTGGGATATCTCTCCTATGACCGGGGAGTAAAACTTTTCTGGAAACTCTAAGTGGTGCTAGCCTATGTTGATGAAGCTCTGGTATACATATAGGTCAAATAATCCCTCATCTGCAATCTTTCTTTGAGGGATGGAGGGAGTTAAAAAAAAAATTTATTTATTTATTTGAGAGAGAGAGAGAGAGCGTGGGCCAGAGAAGGGCAGAGGGAGAGGGAGAAGCAGGCTCCACGCTGAGCATGGAGCCCGGTGTGGGGTTTGATCCCGTGACCCATGAGCTCAGGGCCTGAGCTGAAACCAAGAGTTCAATGCTCAACCGCCTGAGCCACCCAGGAGCCCCAGGATGGAGGGGATTTATTTAGTCTTTTCAATAAATTCAACCAATTTGTTTAATAAAAGATGCTTAACTTTTTTGGCTTTCGGCTCGGGGAGGCAAAGGTGCAACTTTCTTCGGTCGTCCCGAATCCGGGTTCATCCGACACCAGCCACCTCCGCCATGCCGCCTAAGTTCGACCCCAACGAGATCAAAGTCGTGTACCTGAGGTGCACCGGTGGCGAAGTCGGTGCCACGTCTGCCCTGGCCCCGAAGATAGGCCCGCTGGGTCTGTCTCCAAAAAAGGTTGGTGATGACATCGCCAAGGCAACCGGTGATTGGAAGGGCCTAAGGATTACGGTGAAACTGACCATTCAGAACAGACAGGCCCAGATTGAAGTGGTACCTTCTGCCTCTGCCCTGATTATCAAAGCCCTCAAGGAACCACCAAGAGACAGAAAGGAGCAGAAAAACATTAAGCACAGTGGAAATATCACTTTTGATGAGATTGTCAATATTGCCCAACAGATGCGACACCGATCTTTAGCGAGAGAACTCTCTGGAACCATTAAAGAGATCCTGGGGACTGCCCAGTCTGTGGGAGGCAATGTAGATGGCCGCCACCCTCATGACATCATAGATGACATCAACAGTGGTGCGCTGGAATGCCCGGCTAGTTAACTACAAAGGAAAATGTTTCAATAAAGGATCATTTGACAACCAGAAAAAATAAAAATAAAAAAAAATAAAAGATGTTTAAGATTTATATAACACATGAGTTTTTTTTAGTTTTTTGGGAGGGTTTTTTGTTTTTGTTTTTGTTTTTAAGGAAGGAGATGATTTAAAAGTATTTAGTGTTTGATTCTATTTACATGAGGTACCTAAAATAGTCAAATTCACGGAGACAGAAAACTGAATGGTGGTTGCCAGGTTGCTCCCCAGTGGGAGGGAGAAATGCAGAGTTATTGTTTAATGGGTACAGAGTTGGGGCTGATGAAAATGTCGTAGGGATGGATGATGGTGATGATTGCGGAACCATCCACCAATGTACTTACTGCCACTGAACTGTATACCTAAACATGGTTAAAATGGCAAGTTTTATGTTAAATATATTATACCACAATCAAAGAAAGAGAAACCTAGCTATAATGAGTGAGCAAGGGGAGCAAGGAGTGAGCAACCTCCTTGGCAATGACCAGACAGTGAACTTGGTGATTAGGCTGACTATAAAAATCAACAGTTTCAAGGAGTACTACTGTGGATTGCATGTTAAATATAAATCCATTTTCTGGCTTGCTGACAGAATAACTAAGAATGTGATTAAGAGAATGCTTTCCAGAGCAAGAGGTCAAACATTTGGCCTGTGCCCTATGTTAGCAATGGGAATCACAGGAGAGGAAAAGAATTCTTCTCACAGAGCAGGAATTCACTACAATTTATCCTTAAAAGCCACTTTAAAAAATAGTGGATAATCATGATCTAATGAGAAAAAATACTGGGTTTTTTTGTTGTTATGGGCACAATCTACCAACAACCCATTTCTTTATTTTATTGTCACCACTCTCCTATGTGTTATCATTTGATTAATACACACTGGTTCTTTTAACTACCAATTTACTGGTGTTTTTTTTTTTAAGTAAACTCTACACCCAACATGGGGCTCGTACTCTGACCCCAAGATCGAGTCGCATGCTCTACCCAATGAGCCAGCCAGGCGCCCCACTACCAACGTACTTTAAGTTAAAGCCTTTTTAATCAGGGAAGCCTGGGTGGCTCAGTTGGCTAAGCATCGGACTCTTGATTTCAGCTCAAGTCATGATCTCAGAGTCGTGGGATCAGCCCCGCATCGGGCTTGCACTCAGTGTGGAGTTGGCTTGGGATTCTCTCTTTCTCCCTCCCCCTGCTCGTCCATGCTCTCCCTCTCTCTCTCAAAATAAATAAATAAAATCTTTTTCTAAAAAGCCTTTTTTAACCAAAACAATATGAAATTCCTAAACATGAGTCTGCCTAAATGGGAAAGTTTATATTGTATTTGCTCCAATAATTAATTTTAATTTTGGAACTTCTACATTACAAGTTAGTGAGTTATTAAGTTATACATAAAGTAGCCAAATATAAAATAGCTATAAAATAGTCAAGCAAACTGAAAATAAATATAAATATTATTTATATTGCAATATCTACATGACGATTACATGATATAATACATGAAAAGTTCTTAAGACAGAGTCTAACACATAGTTAAGTGTTGTAAGTGAAAGTTGTTTTTTGTTGACAAATATTGGTATCATTAATGTGCTTCATTGTAAGTCCAATGAAATATGTAATAAATGTTTCCTGTATTTTTCCTAGGTGAAAGTCATCTTACTAGGCTGTATGGGGGAACAGAAAGTTGAAGGAGATACATACACCATTGAGAGAAACATCATTTCTTCATGTTGGTATCCCTCGTCTAGGTATAGGAAACAATGAACATAAGTAACGAAGTACTTGACAGAAGAGAGGGTCCCCAAGTGTTGTGGAGATTCAGATGGATGAGGGGAAATTTCACAGAGGAAAAGGCCTTTTTCCTGGACCTTGAAGGATAGATGGGATTTCCACTGGTGAATATGAAAGAGAGTGGTGAGGTTCATTCTCCAAGGAGGGAGGGAGGGAGGGCACAGAGGCAGAGGGGGAGGAGTGAGTGCAGGAACAGAGTATCAGGTGTATTTGGAACACAAAACATGGCAGGAGAGTTCTTGGAGGTCAGCCTGGAAAAGTTGATTGGGGCCAGAGCATAAAGATCTCAGATTCTGAGGGAAAGGGACCCCTTGAAGGTGCATGTACATGAAAGAACATGGCTTGAAGAAGTTTTGGGATGAATGATCTACAAGCATTCTGCTTCTGCTGTATTGAAATAAAGGAAAATGGTTAGCTCTCATTTCACAGGTGTGGGCACTAGCTTGCCTTAGGACAGAGCCAACCCTTGGTTTTTAGCCTTGAAGTCCAGTGTGTTTTGCAGGCTGATAGTACTTTAAGGGATCTTGCCCTTACTGCTGTATCTGTATGGATCTGCAGGCAAGATGTCCCCAGTGGCTTCTGGGTGGGATTCCTGATGGACTTGTAGAAACAGTTAGTAGCTTAGTAGGATCCATGTCCCTCTGCTGCCCTCCAAGAGCCCAGGCTGCTGTTCTCCCAGCCGCCCCCCACCCCCACCGCCCCAGTCATGCCGCAGACCTCAGTATTCTGGATGGGCTGAGAAAGAAGTGGGTCTCTCCCCACAGCTGGGGAAGCCAAGCGTTCACTCACATACTTTCACTTTCCCCCATGGGAGAAGTTGCCAGCCAGCTGACAAGGTCTCTCTTGACACCGAGCTGCTCCACTTTGGAAGAGGGGCAATGTGGGTAAAATAAAACTGTTCCTCTTACCATCTTCATGTGTCCACTCCTGATTTTTTTTCTTCAGTGATGTGCTAGAGCCTCTCTGCTAAACTCCTGGACCTCCCCAAAAGCACTCTCATCCGTGGGCAACTGTCAAAATTGGTGTTCCTTCTGGGGAAGATGGTAGAAGACTTTTCCACCACATAGCTGACATCACTCTGCAAAGAATACAGATTAATTCTGGGAAGATTAATCTATCTTTATTCACTTGTACCTTGCAGAGAATTATTTATACTTTCTGACTATGTAAAATCTAAGCAATTGAAGACATTTTTTAAAAGATTTTATTAATGTTTTTTTTTTGAGAGAGAGAAAGAGAACAAGCAGTGGGAGCAGCAGGCAGAGGGAGAGGGGAGAAGCTGACTCTGTGCTGAGTGCAGAGCCCGACTTGGGGCTCCATCTCACGACCCTGAGATCATGACCTGAGCTGAAATCAAGAGTCAGACACTTAACTGACTGAGTCACCCAGGCGCCCCTAACAAGTTTGTTTTCAAAACCGGTTTCATTCTTTTCATTCATCAAATGCTCGCAACAGAGGCTGCTAGTGCTCACCAATATCAAGCTATCCTTTCCTTCCTGGTCACACAGCGAGACTGCACCTCCCAAGTCCCTGCTGTACAGAGGTGGTCATGTAACTAGTCTCGGCCAGTAGAATGTGGTCCCTAATTTCTCCTTGGATTTTCCAAGAGTCCCTCTCCCCTTGCCTGTTGGTTGGATGCAGAGAATCTTCAGAGGAGTCTAGGGCTCCAGAAGATGGAAGGGCCACCAGATAAGTGAAGCTTGAGTCCTTGAGTGACCATGTGGCGCTCCTTGCCCCACACCTGCCATCTTGGATTGTGACTCTTTTTTGGTTAAGCCAGTTAGATGTGGCTATTGCATGATATGGCAGTGAGCCTCTCCTGACTAATGTACATCATACTTCTTAAACTCTGATGAAATTCCTGGGACTTTGGATTCTCGTGTCTAAACCCTGAACAACGGGGCGCCTGGGAGGCTTAGTCTGTTGAGCGGCTGCCTTTGGCTCAGGTCATGATCCTGGAGTCTCAGGATGAAGCCCCAAGTTGGGCTCCCTGCTGAGCGGGGAGCCTGCTTCTCCCTCTGCTTCTCGCTCTCTCACTCTCTCTCAAATAAATAAATAAAATCTTTAAACCCTAAATATCTAGAGCACTAGACACAGCTACTGTTTTGTGAATTTATTTAAGATTAGTGTTGTGCTTTTGTAGCCCCCTGGGGCAAAGCACTCCTCTTGATTCAGTTTCTGTTTCACTATCAGTCAGTGTCATTAAGTCCAACCACCTCTGCAGGAGATTTCTGTGAGGACAGTTAGCTGTGTCTCTGATAAGAAGCTTTGACTGTTCAGGGCTCCCTGCTTTACAGTTTGCCACCCGCCTTCAACAGCTCTGTCAACAGGCCTAAGGGCCTCACTGCCTCTCTGCAAAGTGCCAGAATCTTTCCCACATTGTCTTGAATATGTCCTTTGAGCTGGTGAGCTGTCAGCACCCAGTAGAGCCTGACCCGCAGTGCCAGAACTTCCGATAACATAAACAGCCCACTGAGTTCTCAGAGAATGAGAAATCTATTTTAATATCAGCCCCAAGTTCCCTTTTTGTGTCCTCAGGGAGAGAGATGTGCAAATTCATTCTATCTGTGTTGTGGAAAGAGTCAGAGTGCTAGTAACTTGAACAAGGTGACCAAATTCTGGTGTACTAGGTTCTAAAACCCTCAGTAGACATAGTAAGTGAATAAGTTTCTTTCGCCGCTCAAACTTGCCAAATGTGTATTTTTATGGTTCAGCTACATAGATTCACTGGCTTAGCAATAATGTAAGGTGGGTAGAGGTCTGGATAATGTCTGTACATCTCCTGGAGGGCCTTTGAAGCAAGACCATGTCTGTTAGATAACCCTGTGCGTAAATGGGGAATGTGACTCTGGCAGTTGTGGTGAATAAAAATGTTTTGTAGGATTATTCCAATACTGTAGTATTTTGCTTCCAGCAAAAATGTTTAGGGTTGTATAAAAGAGTAGCCCATGGGCTTGTATTCTGGCTGAAAAGTGATTGAGAACCACTAATCTAATAGTCCTGGGTTTTTCTGAGATTTAACACTCAAACACTGTCGAAGGTGCACTCATTTGAATTGCTTTCTCACAACTATATCCCTTTTATGTGAAAAACTAAATGACAGAGGTCATGGCCTGAAGTCATCTAAGAGAGGTTACAGTTCAATCTTCTCAAGTGACAGTCACACACCTAATACTGCATAGAACTGAGAATGACAAGGGTTCTGGGTAAGACATTTTAAGAGACCTCCAAAGGAAGAGGTATTATTATTATTATTTTTAAAGATTTTATTTATTTATTTGACAGAGCGATAGAGAGCCCAAGTAGGCAGAGTGGCAGGCAGAGGGAGAGGGAGAAGCAGACTTTCCACTGAGCAGAGAGCCTGATGCGGGGCTCGATCCCAGGACTCTGGGATCATGACCTGAGCTGAAGGCAGGCGCTTAACCAACTGAGCCACCCAGGTGCCCCAGGAAGAGGTATTATTGCTGATATTCACAAATATAGGCAAAATCATGCCTCTGAGGGGGCGCCTGGGTGGCTCAGTCAGTTAAGCGTCTGGCTTCGGCTCAGGTCATGATCCCAGGGTCCTGGGATCGAGCCCTGCGTCCGGGCTCCTTGCTCAGCGGGGAGCCTGCTTCTCCCTCTCCCCACCCCCACTCATGCTCGCGTGTGCGTGTGTGTGTGTGAGCATGCTCTCTCTCAAATAAGTAAAATCTTTTAAAAAATCATGCCTCTGAGGATTAAATTGATGCTAGGAGAAACATCATGCATATAAATGATCTTCATAGGCTGTCAAGTGTTATATTAAATGATGGTTATCATGGCTTCTTTTACTACAAATGTTTATTGTGCACGTAGGATACACCAGCCACTGCCCTTAGTCATTTAGACGCATCGGCAAACAATTCAAAGTCCATGCCATATGTATTTGAGTGTTGGACAAACAATATAGGACAGATTTCTAATACAAGGTCAGGAGGTGACCGATGATGTTTCGATATAAAATAAAGCAAGGTAAGTGTGTAGAGAGTTACAGGTACTGATATTTTGCATCGTATGGTCTTTAAGGAGGTGACATTGATGGGAACCCCGAGCGATGAGGAGTGAGCCATGTGGAGATATGAAGAGGGTAAAGATAAGAACTTAGGAGTGTTCAACATCCAGATGTTATTTATAGCCATGGACTTGGAGGAGATATCTAGAGAGAGAATGTTGAGAGAAATCGAGGTAGACAAGAGAAGAAGGACACTCCCAGGTCACCCCACCAGTTAGAGGCCACAAAGAGGAAGCAGAGGCAGCAGTGAAGACCAAGAAGAAGCAATGAGTCAGGGGGAAGGAAGACAGGGAGTGTGTGATATCCCAGAACCAAGGGAAGAAAGGGTTTTAAGAAAGAAATTTGAGCGAGTGGTTATCTATATAGAAACAAACATTATAATTAAATTCCTAACATAGAAAAACAGGTTCCACTTAGATTAGAGATCTACATGTGAAGAGCAAACCTGAAAACCTTTTCGAAGAAAGTACAAATATCTTTATGACCTCAGTCAATGGAAGAATGTCTTCATAAGTAGCACATACCACAGAGGGGAAAACATGAGCAAATTTTAAATTTCTATTCATTGAAAACCAGTATTAAAAAGTAAAAAGACAGGGGCGCCTGGGTGGTGCAATCAGTTGAGTGTCTGACTCTTGGTTTTGGCTCAGGTCGTGATCTTGTGGTCATGGGACCGAGCCCCGCATCCGGCTCTGCACTCAGCAGGCTGCTTCAGATTCTCTCTCCCTCTCTCTCCCGTTCACTCTCTCTCTTTCTCTCAAATAAATAAATACAATCTTTTTTTATTTTAAAGTAAAAAGACAAAACATAAACTGGGAGGAGATATTTGCAGCACATATAATCACCAAAAGCTTAATAATTCAGAATGTGTATATATATGTGCATATATACATATAATTCAGAATATGTATATGTGTGTGTGTGTATACAAACTACAAACTCCTACAGATTAGTAAGAGAAACATAACCCAATAAAAAATGACCAGGTGACATAAATAGGCATTTCTCATTAGAGGAAGCCTAAATGAACAATAAACATATGAAAAGATGTTCAACCTCATTAGTAATTTAGAAAAATGCAAATTTTAATCAGACTGGCATAAATTTAAAAATCTGACAATACCAAGTATTGACAAGTATATGGAGCATGGGAAATATTATTTACTGCTGGTGGGAGTATAAATTGGTAAACCACTTTGGGGCGATTTTGGAGCAATTTGGTATTTTTTAATAGATTTGAAGATGCACATACCCTATGGCCCAGCCACCTCCCTCTAGAGAAACTATTGCCCATGTGCACCAGGAATCCTGAACAAGAATGATCATAATAATTGTGTTTATAATAGCAAACAAATAAAATAAAATAAAATGGAAATAACATTAATGTCATTAACAAGAGAACAGGTTAATTCTAAAAATAGATTAATTCAGTCATTGTGGTAGCCAGCTTCCAGGATGGCCTCCAATGTCACTTCCTGGTATTCATGTGCTTTCTATTTAAGTGTACTTGCCTCCCACACTGAATAGAGCTGACCTATATAACCAATGGGATATTCCAGAAATGATCAAAGTCATTGTGACTTCTGCCTTGCTTTCTTGGTTCGTTCCCTCTGGAGGAAGCCAGCTGCTACGTTATAAGGATACTCAAGCAACCCTATGGAGAGATCCACATGACAAGGAGCTGAGGCTTCTTTCCAACAAGCAGCACCAACTCTCAGTCTTGTGAGTGCACCATCTTGGAAATGAACTCTCCAGCCGCATCAAGCCTGTAGATAGCTACGTACTTAGCCAGTATCTTGACTGCTACCTCACGGGAGACCCTGAGCTAGAACAACTCAGCTAAGCTTCTCCTAAATTCCTGACTTATAGAAACTGTTTATTGTTGTTTTGAGATGCTAAATTTTGGAGTAATTTGTCACACAGTAACAGATAACTAATACAGTATGCAACGGAACACTGCATAGCAGTGTAAACGAGCGATGCTTACAAGTAGCATCATGAATAAATCTCATAAAAATGATGTTGAGAGGGCACCTGGGTGGCTC